TAAATTTATATTATTCATTGTCTGGATTAATTTTTGTAAGATGTTAGTTGAGTTGACATAGTTTCAGTGCTTCAATCTATTGATCAAATCTTCATGCGCAGTGTTTATTGTGGTCTTCTCTCACTGGATTCCATCAAGCCATATTTTGTGTATGAGTCGTCACTTTACACAGTTTTTTTATGCCATTTTTATGCTTTTTTCTGCCTATGCACAGCTAGACTCTTCTGTATTTTCCCCTACAGCTGAGAGTCTAAATGTATCTAAAGATTTAAAGCTTTAAAGTTGTAAAGAGTTTTGTCATTCATCAGCCTGTTAACAGTTAACTGTACTGTTGTAACTAGCAATACTACAATGGAGGCTGTAGTCATTCAGTGTGTTTTGTTTATTTTTATTCCTTTTTTTTGTGCACATCATAATTTACTCAGGTCGACAATCCTGACTTACACTGCTAAAAAATAATTTCCTAAATGCAATCTAGAATTGGGTATTCAAGTTCAAAGAGCCACAAGTTTTACTTTGCATAATTTTAGAGGCTTTGCTGACTTTAAAATGTTCATACCAGTTTGTTCATTTAATAATAATACTAAACATTACATTTAAATTAGTTACACAAATAAATATGGGAAAAAGTGGACCATCTTGAAAAAAATGCATTTATATTCAGAGTATTAAAATTTGATCAGATATGTTGAGCACTTATACATTATAATATTTAATAATTAATTATCCCTATAGCATAACACAAACAGATACATTATAATTTTTATAGGCTATAGTGGTTTTACTCAGGGTGTATACAATTTAGTTTTTTTTAATCATCCAGTTATGAACCAATGTGAGTAAGAGGTCCACTGCAGAGCTCATCCAGCTGTCATTAGTGTAACAGGAGTGAAACTCTGAGAACTCGCTGATGTGATGATAGCTCCATTCATTGTTATTGCAGCACTTTTTGCTTTACAATTTTAATATGTTTGTTTTTTCATGCTGTAAATAGGACCGTCTGATATTTGTACAATGCAAAGTGTAAAGCCTGTCGCACTGTGGACGAGGTGCAATGTTGTGCCGTGTCTTTAAAATGCTATTTGTTTCCTATGAGTGAAGCCAGCGCAGATAGGCGCGCACTCCGCAGCACCCAGCTGATCGGTTACTTAGGAACGCAAGCGATAAACAGGGAAGTGCTTTCAGCCACCGATAATGTTCTTATTGATCATGTATTTTAACTGAAATATAGTCAGTTAAATAGACCTGTGCATTCATTTAGTTGTTTAGCGTAAAAGAGGTAAGCGTAAGTGAAAGGTAAACGCCGTCAGGTGCAGCAGAGAAGCGGCAAAAATCACAGGAAGCGCCCGGCCAGAAGCGCTAATTCAATAAAAGTCCCCGTGCACAGAGGCGGGCCGCTGCGATTCTTTTCCTGTGTCACGAAAGTGTCAACTGCATTTAAATGACATAAGCATTAAGCTTAATTTTTGCAGTACTTTTGAGCTCAAATTATAATAAAAAATACCTTCAGAATGATGCGGGACACAAAATTCATCCATGTGGGCCCATTGATTACCCCTCATCTAAAATTTCTTTGCGCCCCCCCTAGCGCCATCTGGCGGCCCCCAGTTTGAAAACACCTGGTTTAGGGTGTCATACAGCTTATTTTAAATTGTGTGGCCAAACATTGCACCTAGGCGTCTAATCTCAAATCAAACGCACCAAAACTAGCTTACTGTTTTCTTGAAATTTACTGGCACATGTGATGCTTGTTAGGACTGGGGCTAAACTCTTAACAAAAATAGACTAAAATGGACATCAGGCCAGTGTAAATCAGCCATGAGGTTGAAGATGAGCTCAGCAGTGTCGCACATGTCATCATACATTCAGACTCTGTTGCAAATTACAACTTGAACGGTTTTACTTACATCCAGAAATAACACATGGCATAAATTATTTTGCTGATTTAAAAGTGTTGTTTAATCCAATTTGCTTTTGATTATATGCCAGTAGGTAAAAGAAAATAGTAAGCTTCTGCAATATTAACCAGCTTGTTACATTTCGTGCCCTGTACATAATAACAGGAAATCCTCAACCAATTAATACTCTACTCCGACAGATGTGAGTTGATCTGACCCCTCTCAGGAGCTGGATATTCATTTACAGTTGAAATGCAGAGTGCTCTCAAGGTCAGTAACACAAGGATATTTGTCATGTTATTACACCTGCAGTAATCACAATGAGGTAGACTGTGTGTGTGGGTTATCCTTTGATAGCTCTGTTCAGACTTTAACCAGTGCTAAACGAAACACTCAATGAAACCGTTTGCCACAAAGCCATTCTCTAAACAGTGCTCACAAAGAATTTTTTCCATTGCCAGAGTATGACAGTCGTCCGTGCTGTGCTCTATAAAAAGTAGCATCTCAGAAGCTTGAATGACATTCTGACGTTATCTCTGGTTACTACCACTACACCACATGTCAAGAGTCTTCACATGCACATACATCACTTACACACACTGGTTTGTTTTACTATCTTTGTGAGGACTTTACAATGACTTTAAGGATGAAACGATTACAGCTTTTGATCGTATGATTATAGTCTGAGGAATAACCGTTTCACGGTTATAAAGATTATTATGCATTCATTATTTTAAAATCACTAGTTCAAAAAAATAAATTCACATGAAAACTCCTTATATTTGAAAGTGTTATTTATTGCTGCTCAGCAACCAAATAATACAGCACAAAATAATAATAAAAAACAAACAATGACCTTTTCTCTCTTCTCATATTAGCCTCGGTGTACAAGCTCAGAACTTTAAGCTAGGACACAGTTGGAATATCTTTGTTCAGTTGAAGCAGTTTTGTTCAGTTCAGAAACACAGTTTTGAAAAGCCTTTACGATTAATTAACCGTGACAAATTAGAATGCAGTTAAAAGTGAAATTGGTTAATCATTGCATCCCTGATTGACTTCCATTGTTTCTATACTAGATTCTTGGTAGTGTCTATTGCTAAACCCTACTCTGAAAAAAATACAGGGTTCCACCCAATTCATTAATGTTGTCCCAACACAAAATTGACAATAACATTAACACATTTAACTGGATTAAACATAAAACAATTAAGTTGTCCCTAAAAAAAATCTCAAGAATTGTGTTGTTTCAGCTCACTTTAAATTAGTAGTTCGAAAAAGCAGCAATACTTTTTTTTTTTTGAGTGCACCCCTATCCATAAACCAAATCCTCACAGAAACAAGTGGCAATCATTAGATCCTAAAAAACACGCTCTGGCCAATTTAGAAGCACTTTTAATTAGAGAGTACATCTGAAATGTCTTCAGTGGGTTGTTTTGTAGTCTCAATATATAAGCGCGGGCACTTGTTTCTGTGAGGATTTGGTACACACACACATTTTGTTTTACTTTTGCGACGTCTGCAGACAAAATTAGGTTAATAAATTTTATGCAGATGATATTGATTCATTCATTTTTCTTCTGGTTAGTCCCTTTATTAATCATATGTTAAACACAGCGGATACCCTTCCAGCTGCAACCCAGTACTGGGAAACACCCATACACTCTCATATGCACACACTCTTACACTACAGCCAATTTAGTTTATTCAATTCACCTATAGCGCATGTCTTTGAACTGTGGGGGAAACCGGAGCACAAGGAGAAAACTTGAGTGAACATGGGGAGAACAAGCAAACTCCACACAGAAATGCCAATTGACCCAGCTGAGACTCGAACAAGCAACCTTCTTGCTGTGAGGCAACAGTGATAAACACTAAGCCACTGTGTTGCCCACAGATGATAATTATGCAGTCTAAAATTCTTTAAAAGGAGAATAATCAGAAGCAACATGCAGAATAACAAATGCACCATGGCGTGACGCAACTGACTCTTAAGGGAATGGGAGATGAGACTCTGATTGGTTTATTATCAAAACACTCCTATAACTCATTAAGACAATAAGCTCAACCCTGTTAGACTTTGTGGCACATTAGTATATGTGAGGGGGCTTGTAAATAACTCATGAAAGAATAAAGTTACATTTAAAACCAAGCACACCATTGTTTTTCTTGTGAAATTCCCAATAAGTTTATTAAGGTGTATCCATATAAATACCCACCCTGTATAATGAAAAATGACGCATAGCTGACATAATGTCATGGATGTTGGTTAAGGGCTAACGTATGGAATTTCTGTACCACTGCACAGAAACTGTGAAAACAAAGATTGCTTTTAAAACACACCAGCAGTCAGTCATTGATTGGAAAAACAGTCTCATTTCACACCCATATGAATAATTTATGTGCAGTTGTTTCTGCGTATTAAAATGGCTTAGGGGTTTTTCAACACAAATAAAAAGTTTTGTAAAAAATAATACGGTTACATTTTAAAATAATGGTTCATTAATCATGTTAACTAAAGTATTTAGTAACAGGATCTAACTATGAGCAATCTTGTACATCTAATCATCACACTTTACAATAAGCCCTCATTAGTTAATGTATTTACTAACATGAGCTCATTGAGAACAATATTTGCACCGCATTTTATTAATTATAATTCAACATTTACTAATGCATTGTTAAAATACAAATTCTTGCTTGTTAACATTAGTTAACAAAGTGTGAGTTAACATGACATATCAGTGAACAAATTTAATTCCATTAACTAACATTAGCAAAGATTAATAATTTTTTTAATAAATGAAATGTTTACTTTTAGCTCATGTTGGGAAATCTATTAACAGACATTAACTAATACAACCTTGTATTGTAAAGTGTTGCTCATTTAATAATCATACTGTTGGTCAACATCTACTAACATATTATTAAAATCCAAAACTGCACTTGTTAACATTAATTAATGCACTGCGAGTCACCGATAAACAACTTTATTCTAATGTTTAACCAGCATTAACAGAGAGAAAGAGAGAGAGAGAGAGAGAGAGAGAGAGAGAGAGAGGTTCAACAGATCTACCATTTGTGTGTGCGCATTTGCATACTTACATCTGTATCTGGCCCTTTATCTGCTCCAGGGCATGAGAATGTGACAAGTTCATGGCAACGTTTATGGACAACAAAACAGCACACTGAGAAAGAGGGAGAAAAGAGATGGGTTACATTTAGACAAAAAAAACAATTAAATAAAAACACAAAATATATATGACACAAAACTGCAAAATGTTGTTAGTTTATTAATGCTTAAATATAAGAAATGTAACACCAAATACTGGAATAAAGTCATACGTTAAGACTGACTCACAGGTGTGGAATCAAAACCAGTGTCATATTTAAGAGAGAGCAATTTATCACATTATATAAACAGATGACATATTCTGGAAGACTCTGTGGAAACCATTGTCTAGAGAAAGACATAATGTGGCTCCACAGATCAATGAATGTGTCAATGACATATAACACATCCCATAACAACAAAAAGCAAAAATTACATGTTGATATTGGTTTCTTTTACTATAAATCTTTTATTCGATTATTTTAAAAAATGCAGTAATAATAACAGTAATATCTAAAAAGCCTGTTCTTTAGTTTAATAAATTTGAGAGGATAATTAGTCATTATCAAAATTAATTATTTATTTTGACAATTAATCATTGTCAAAAACTATTTATTTATTTTATTATTAAGATATTAAGGTATTAAGAATACCAATCTAGAAATAGTGGCCTCATATGATATTTTTACAGCACTAAACCTTGCATTGTCATAAAAAGGAATCAAGCAAGACATTATACACTAAGTATTTTTAGATTTATGGTTTAGATTAGGGCTGCACTGTATTGGAAATTACCGTACATTTAAAAAAAAAAAATTGCAATATATATTGCGATATGAATACAGTTTCACCAGATAACTTGAATATGTCTGTTTGGAAAGAATTTAAAATGTTAGATCGATTGGGATGATTCTGGAGTGCATCTGCATAAAATCTAATAAACAACCTATATATAATTTAGAGTCTCCTGACACATTTTCGATGTGGTCTGTGCTTTGCTGTGCCTTTCTGCATTCGCATGTGTTGTGAGTATTTTCATGCATGACAATCTGTAAATACAATCAAGAAAACATGCAACTGAAAAAGTGTTTTATTGTTTTCAGAGTCTAACAGCATTCAAGTACAATACCTGAAAGATAAAAAAATCAAAATAATTCAATACAATTAATCGTTGTTAGTCACAAATAGTACACTGTATTATGCCTGTATGCTTTAAAGGTCATTAAACAGTCACAGACATCAAGAACGCATGCAAACGATGAATTATAACGCCCCATTCACACGGAGCTTCAGCGTCAATGCTTGACTGAAGGCGTGTCTGAAATTGGGGCTAATGTGATCGCCATAGCAGCATCAGCCAATGAAATTCAGTCAGCAATAGGCCACTGTCTAGCTGTTGTATTTGCATACAGCGATCTGATTGGCTGATGCTTCCGTCGGCGCTTGAAAAGTTGAGCTATTCCCAACTTCTGCAGCAAGCAACACCTCTGAAGCGGCACAGACGGCAATGCCTGACGTCACCCATTTAAAGTGAATGGGAAGCATTGACGCTGGTGCCCCGTGTAAATGGGGTGCGAGACTGATTTCAAGACTCAACATTACATATGCTGATATCTATGCTGAAACGATATAATGAAGCCATAGTTTAGATATATACTTGCATTGCTAATTTAATTTAGCATAGAAGAGGAAAAAAAATCCAACCTGAAAAAAAGTTATTCTAACACTGTTGTTTGATATGAAAGAATGCTTCTAACAAATTTAGTTTTGTTGACCTTAGATATTCAAGCATTAAAAATGTGTTAGCATTAAAGCAATAAAAATGGAAGTACTTTATGTTGCACAATGTTGTGCAATGTTTTGAAATGTATTGATGAACAATTATTTGATATTGATATATTATAATTAAATTACATTTTACTAGTGTAATTTCTGTAGCTGCTATTGTCTCAGTCTTCTGGCTCATCATGCTTTATCTTGTGATCCTAACAGTAGATTTTAACTGCTGATTTAATACAGTTTCATATTACTGTAAATAGGCATGGGCTGGTACAAGTTTCTGACAGTATAAAAACCTTGGATAAAACTACCATGGTGTCACGATATTGTAATTGCTGCTCTAAAATAAGTTATTTTTAAATGTCAGGGTAAAAAAAAACAAGTAAATAAATAAACATTTTCCCCATTAAATAATTTATTTTAAGAAACATTAATAATGTTTTGGAACAGTTAAACATTTAAGAGAAATAATTAACTTCTGCTGTCTTCATTAGTTTAAAAAACACAGGTTTCTTAACTACACTATAAAATACATTAAAAAACTTTAAATATACTTGGGGAATGGTATAATAGAACATTTTAGTGGTATTAAAACCTTGACTTTTCCAAACCACGGTAAACCTTGAAACCGGTTATCGTCCCATGCCTAACCATAATATATATATATATATATATATATATATGTGTGTACTACTTACCACTAAGAATATAATCACCATATTTAAGAGGTTGTTATCGAGTTAACAAAATGACAGAGTTAGTAATAACAGCGATGTACTGGAATAAAAGCAACCTTAGGTACTAATGAAGGCACAATTAAATATTAAAACTATTGTAACTGGCACTACAACCTAACTCGTCTCTTTAAGCAACCACACAGAATTTCTAATGTTTTGCAGAGTTCACAGAGATGTATGACATTTAACACTAATCTTTTGCCTCAATTACATCCTGATCTACTGACCAAACAGCATTTTCAGTGAAATTTCTACCCTGATCTACAACGTCCTTAGCATATTTCCAGTCAGTAAGTTATTGATGTGATAGTTCTATTTCTCTTCCTAGTACACTGCAGCTAATGATCAATGGGCTGCAGTTTATCGGTTCATGCATTCCCAGGAAATCAAACTCATAAGTTCTATTGTTGGAGTTACAGGAACTGAACTTATTTAAATCGATTCAGATCAGGATATTGTTTGTACATAAGTGTAGAAAGCTTTAATGAAAGCTGTCACCTGCAGTTGTACCTCTGCATCTGTACACTCTCAAAAAAAAAAAAAATAAAATAAATCAATAAATAAATAAATAAATAAATAAATAAATAAAAAAATTTGGGCTCGAAATACTAATACCTCGTCTTTAATACCTCGTCAGACGAGGTTTATTACTTTTTAATGGCCTTAATTTTGGTTAATTTAATTTACTACCTTTTACAACCCCGCGGACACCCTGATAAATCAAAAGATCTAGTTTTTGCTGAACATTTCACAACACTTTTCACAAACATGTTACAGAAACACATTCTCCCATGTACAATAAAACATTTTTCTTCTCCAATTTTCACACAATACTTTAGTAATCACTTAAAAGTTAATTTAATTTACTTAATTTTAAAATAGAAATAGAATTATGCAAAAGTATTGTAATGAAATCTGCATAATGTTTGATTAGTTTTACAATACTGAAGTCTGCATGAACACTTTGCATATGCAGGACTTTTGCCAGCTCAGTTCCTACGTAGTGGAAAGCAAACACCAAAAGATGCGGATATCAATAATGAAAATGTATTTATCAGAAAATGCTTACCAAACGTTTACTAAAAATGCCTTAAATGTTTAGTGTACAATACCTTTAGTTTTGTTTTACCAGTTGTTTTGTTTTATAGAACTTAATAATTGATGTTTATGAGTTTCTTTAAGCATATGCTTTTAAATAATGATTTATGTTTTAATATGGAAATTATTCATAAAATCACTTTGCCATTGCAGTAATATTTTTTTTCATAGATAATGTAATAAAAGAGTTGTTCAACACTTATGTACCTTTTTATGAGAACAATTGTGTACCTTCATTTTATTTGTACCTTAAAAGGTACAGAACAGTATTATAAGAGGTCTTTTGTGTATCATATAAGGCACAACTTTTACAAAGGTACAAAACTGTTCCTTAAGGAACATTATTTGTACCACAGTGTACCTTTTTCTGAGAGTGTATCTGGAGTATAAATGACATTACAGATCTCTTGCACTGTGAGTAAAGAACGTTCGAGGTTACAGAAGTAACCCTTCGTTCCCCGAGGAGGGGAACGGAAGTGCCATAGAGTGGAATTGATTGAATCCACGAAATGGGAGGATTCGGATCAGAAGCCGCTTGTCTGGAGAGTATTGAACGGGCCAATGAATGAAATTAATTGGCAGCGTAAGCTTGCGCAGGTGTGCGGCATAGGCAATTATCCCAGCATATAAGCGCACCTGAAGCCAGCAGACGCTATCCTTTTAAGCTGAAGATACTTTCAAACAGCTAAGGGACAGTCATTATGGCGATGGAGTATGGCACTTCTGTTCCCCTCCTCGGGGAACGAAGGGTTACTTCTGTAACCTCGAACGTTCCCCTTCGGTTGGGGAACTTCAGTGCCATAGAGTGGATTGATTGAATCCACGAAATGGGAGAAGTATGGAAAGCGCCACAATGACTGCACCTTACCAACGCCCCCGATGAGGGGATAGTCAAGCAAGCGTGACGCACCCACATCATGGGAGGCGCGGTCCTCCAACGTGTCCCTGGCCCTAATTTATCCTACTTCAACAGAAGTTTTACGGATTTAGATATATTTTTTGGGAAGTCGTGAGCATCTAGATAATTCTAGGAAATACGACAGTACGTTGGGAAGCGTACAATCCCGATAGGGAGGACGCTGCGGAGGCCATCCGTTACCCAAGGGGGGGATAGATGGCATAATTAACATATGGACTAGCCCTAAAAGGGGGAGTACGCATAGCAAAAGAGTGGTTAGCAGAGAGGGAAGACACGGGTCCGCCCAGGGGGGGGACTTAACCGTGGCGGAATAAGCATATGGGATCGCCTAGTGGGGATCACGCATAGCAGGCACCTATACCCAAAACGCGGGCTGATCAGCGGGCAGACCTACAACGTAGTGGGCCAGCAAGTGACTCCTCCGCTGAGTGAGTGCTGGGGGCCACGGAGGAATCTGCAGGGCTCACCTGACGGGGAACTTTACTGACAGATAAAAAGGCGCACGTACCTCCGTGTTAGGGAGAATGGCGCAGCAAGCGTGTT